GATAAAATTACAAAATTTCTTCTCCGAAAAAACATGTTTAGGAATTTGTTGAGCATCGTGACAAGAAAAAAATAGACATTATCAACGTGATCGTCTAGAAGTGGAGACTCCTCTGAACGAAGCGAGTCACCGTATTTTGATATTCCCTATCTTTTTCTCTCATTCTTATTTTCCCTCTATTATTTATTATTTTTTCATGGGTACATATATAGGAGACGAAATTCAAATAATGGGCCGAACTCATTTTGTGATGAAATTTGAAATTTAATAAACTACAAATACCAATAATTTATTTATTAAATTATTCAAATCATAATAAAAATCAATAAATATTTATTGATAAAAAAAAAATAATCAAAATAGATAGCATCGTTAAAGTGTATAAAAATTTTAACTTTATAAATTTTATAAAACAATCTTTGTTTTACATACGATTTTCATTATAAATAAAGAGGGGAAATTTTCATAAATAAGAGATTAAGTATGACACATTTCAAAACTAAGAAAACAAGGTTTAAAATTTCAAAAATTAGATTTTTTTAATTTTATTTATAAGGTAATTAATTAGACATTTATTTTATTAATTAAATATATAAATGTCACAATTCTATACAATTTGATCACAAATTATAAAATAAATTGGTCACAAATTATTTCCCGATCGCAATAAAAAATTTTATAGGTCATGATCACAAATCAAAAGTGTTATAAGTCACAATTTATTCATCGATCAAAATTTACCAAATTAATAGATCACATATTATTCATTGGTCACAAATTACAAATTTTATATGTCACAACTTATTTTGTAGTTACAAAATATCTAATTAATTAATCACAATTTAATTTTTGGTCACAAATTAATAAATTTTTAAGTCATACGTTATTTATCTATTTAATTGATTACATATTTATTGGTCACACATTAATCAATTTATTGATCACAAACAATCAAATCTTTTGTGACCACCACCAATCACATCGTCGTCATTGAAACCACCACCGCCACATCATGGCTATAAGTTCATCCACATCCAACAATACCACCACCCTACATTCCGATAGTAAAACCATCCGCAACCAAACATTGCCACCACAACCACTGCACCACACTGCCAACATCACCACCACTACCATCCAAACACCACTAAGGGCTTGTTTGTCTCCCTTTATTTGAAAATATTGTTTTTTATAATAACATTTTCCACCATAAATTCAAATAATAAAATATTCTACAC